TTCTGATCTATTTTGAGTTAATTTTTATACAAGGTATGAGGTTTAGGTTCTTTTTATTTGTCTATGGATATGTGATTGCTTCAGCACATTTATTAAAAAACTATCTTTCCTCCACTGAGTTACTTTAGTACCTTTATAAAAATTAATTGAGCATATTTGTATGAGTCTGTTCTTAGATTCTCTTTCTCTTCTATTTGTCAGTGTGTCTATGCCTCAGTCAATACTACATTGTCTTGATTACTGTAGCTACATAACAAATATTTATATTGAGAAGAGTGATTTCTCCTACTCATTCTTCTTTTACAAGATTCTTTTACCTATTTCATGGCATTTGCCATGGACCTTTTAGAATAAATTTGACTGTATATACAATAACCTTGCTGGGATTTTGATAAACATTGCATTAAACCTATAGATGAATCTGGGGACAATTGATATCTTTACTATTTTGTGTCTTCCAAACCATGATAAAAGATTTATTTAAATCTTTGATTTCATTTGCATCTTTTAATTTTCAGCATATAAATTCTGTATATGTTTTGTTAAATTTACACTTAAGCATTTTCTTTGGAGTGATTGTAAATGGTATTATGTTGTTAATTTTGGTTTCTACTTTGTTCATTTTTTGTATATAGAAATGCAAGTATATTTTGGGTGCTGATCTTGTATCCTAACACTTTGCTGAACTCACTTACTAGTCTAGGAGGTTTTCTCTTAAAAATAGATTCTTTGCAGTTTTCTATGTTGACAATTATGTCACCTGTAAATAAGGAAACTTTTATTTCTTTCTTTCCAATCATATAGATTTTGGTTTAGTTTTCTTGACTTATTGCTATGCTAGAACTTTCACTATAACCTTTAAGATATCATCAATGTCGATTTCTAGAGATTTACTGAAACTTACTGCCCTGAATGGGGCCCATTAACCTGAGACAGATGCATTTTTAACACTTCTTAATCTTCCAACCTCTTCAGATTCAATTTCCTGTAATTTGGATAAATAACTGTTAATATTCCTCAGTGATTATAAAGGACACCCACATGGCAAAGCCCCTTGAAGCAGCAGAGTGACTTTTAATAAATTAAGCAGAACCTTATTATAAATGCAACCTCAGCACAGGAAAATTATCCATGAGATTGGAATAGGAGGTAATAATCTTCAGAGAATTAAGGTTTGAGGTTGAGTTATGGAATATGTGGTTTGTTCTTCCAGTTTTCCCCTATTTCTTTTTTTTAATATTTTATTTATTTATTTTTAGAGAGGGAAGGGAGGGAGACAGAGAGAGACAGAGAGAAACATCAATGTGCGGTTGCTGGGGGTCATGGCCTGCAACCCAGGCATGTACCCTGACTGGGAATCAAACCTGCGACACTTTGGTTCACAGCCTGCGCTCAATCCACTGAGCTACGCCAGCCAGGGCTCCCCTAGTTCTTTTATTAATATTTTTAGACAGACACACACAGACTGATTTGTTATTTCACTTATTTATACATTCATTTGTTGACTCTTGTATGTGCCCTGACTGGGATTGAACCTGCAACCTTGGCACACTGGAATGACACTCTAACAAATTGAGCTACCCAGCCAGGGTCAGTTTTTCCTTCTTATTCCTAAATTGGGGTTAGCAATAATTTTAAACTCTGAAAAGATGAGATATTCTGTTATCTTATTCTTATATATTAAAATTGCTATTGTTAAGAACTCTTGAGAATCAACTTTTGATCAATAATTCTGTGTATTTTGCTATGCTTTTAGTAATAGGCACCTAAAAGCATTTGGAGAACTCAAAGTCTCTGGTCTCAATTTTGTAAAGAAAAGCATAACCATTAGTAACATTTTTATTTACTTTAAAAATGTATTTTATCTTTCTACAGTTATGTGATGTGTTTTTATGTTATAAAACATACCTAACTCACCAAAGAGGATTTATAGCCATTATAGAAAGACAGAAGACTGGGCACTGCTATATGCTTTGTTGATGTCAATATAAGAAATCTTGGATGTATACACATAGGTCCAGTTAGGCCTTAGATGTGTACATAGGTACAATGTAGTTTCTTGCAAACACCAAGATCTTCTGCATATAATTTGTACAAAATTTATAATTTGTAGCAAGAATCAAATTTCAGAGTTCTCCCTTAACCTTTTATTTTTTTCTGCAGTAATCAGTATCAAATCATCTACAGGCAGATTAGTCATCATTTTACTGATTTTCCTGGTTCAGTGACTACCTGTGCACTTCAATAACTTTTGTTTTGTTCTTAAAACTGGAGATCTTCTAGGTACCACTCAGTTCATGTGTACAGTAAGGCTGGAGTCAGACCTTGGGATGTTGACTTAGCTTTTTCTGAGACTTGATTTTCTTTTCTGTAAGAGGAAATGATAATGCGCATCTCATTGTTTATAAGGCTTAAGTTAGATGACCCTGCCAAAGCTTACCCCAAGGCTGGGCAGGGAGCATGCCTTAAGTTACTGACTTCTTTTCTTCCTTCTCTGACATGTTGCCTTTGATTTTCTCCCATGTTCAGCCTCTCCTTTTCCTCTTATGCACCACAGACTGAGGTCCTTCTTTTATTTTAGAGTTCACTCCTCATGCCTAATAGAAGGGACCCCTCTGTCAGAAGCACTAGCAGTGGGAATCCAAGGAGCTTGGTGTTGAAGCTGCCTTTCCTTGTTAATGTACCTCCATGGCCTGTTTGCATAGAATAGGGCTGTATGTGGAACTCTATGTATCCTTAAACAGTTTATCATGCTACTGTGGACAAGAGCTTTCTGTTTCTTTCTTTTAAAAAAAATTTATTTTAATTGTTGTTCAAGTACAGTTTCCTGTCTTTTACTCCTATCCCAGCCCACCCCCAAGTGCTCCCCACCTCACTCCCATTTCCACCACCCCCTAATTTTTGTCCATGTGTTTTTTACACTTGTTCCTGTAAACCCATCCCTTTTTCCCCTGAAATTCCCTCCCCTCTCCACTCTGGTCATTGTCACCCTGCTCTCTATTTCAGTGTCTTTGGTTATATTTTGCTTGTTTGTTTGTCTTGTTGTTTAGGTTCCTGTTAAAGGTGAGATCATATGGTATTTGTCCTTCACCACCTGTCTTATTTCACTCAGCATAATTCTTTCCAGTTCCATCCATGCTGTTGCAAAGTATAGGAGCTCCTTCTTTCTGCTGCATAGAATTCCATTGTGTAAATGTACCATGGTTTTTTCATCTATTCATTTACTGATGGGCACCTAGGTTGGTTCCAACACTTGGCCATCATAAATTGTGCTGCTGTGAACATTGGTGTGCATAGGTTCTTTTGGATTGGTGTTTCAAGGTTCTTAGGACATAATCCTAGCAGTGGAATTGCTGGGTAAAAAGGCAGATCCATTTTTAGTTTTCTGAGAAAATTCCATATTGTTTTCCATAGTGGTTGTACCAGTGTGCATTCCCACCAACAGTGCACTAGGGTCCCCTTTTCTCCACAACCTCTCCAACACTTGTTGTTTGTTGCTTTGTTTATGATGGCCATTCTGACTGGTGTGAAGTGGTATCTCACTGTGGTTTTAATTTGCATCTCTCTGATAGCTAGCAATATTGAGCATCTTTTCATGTGTCTCTGGATCCTCTGTATGTCCTTTTTGGAAAAGTGTCTGTTCAAGTCCCTTGCCCATTTTTTAATTGGGTTGCTTGTCTTCCTGCAGTGGAGTCATGTAAGTTCTTTGTATATTTTGGAGATTAAACACTTGTCTGAGGTATCATTGGCAAATATGTTTTCCCATAGAGTTGGTTCTCTTTTTATTTTAATACTGTTTTCTTTAGCCATTCAGAAGCTTTTTATTTTGATAAGATCCCATCTGTTTATTCTTTCCTTTATGTCCCTCCAAAATGATGGAAGACTCCCAAACTCTTTTTAGGAAGCCAAAATCATCCTAATCCCAAAACCAGATAAAGATACAACAAAGAAAGAAAACTTTAGGCCAACATCACTGATGAATATAGACACTAAAATCCTCACAAAATATTGGCAAATCACATCCAACAATACATTAAAAAGATCATACACTATGACCAGTGGGATTCATCCCAGGATGCAAGGATGGTTCAATATTCACAAATCAGTAAATGTAACACATCACATAAACAAAAGCAAAGACAAAAACCACATGATCATATCAATAGATGCAGAAAAAGCATTTGATAAGGTACAGCACTCATTTATGATAAAAACACTCAGCAAAGTGGGAATACAGGGAGCATTCCTCAACATAATAAAGGCCATATATGAGAGACCTACAGCCAACATCATACTCAATGGGCAAAAACTAAAATCTTTTCCACTAAGATTGGGAACAAGACAAGGTTGTCCACTTTCACCACTTCTATTCAATATAGTATTGGAAGTTTTAGCCACAGTGATCAGACAAGAAAAGGATAAGTGTCTGTTTCTAAGTGACCAATACATTCTAACTCAAATGTGACTTAATAATGCATTTGCAATCCAGCTGCATGATGAGTAATCCATAGAAAAAAAGTCCTGCATACTCACCCTAAACATGAGACTGTGGTTGTGAGATGCATATTTAGTTTCTTTGTGGTTGCTGTGAGCTTAGAATCAACATACTGTTTTTGGCATAGCAAGCAACAAAAATATTCTCACAATACAAAGCAATCACATGGTACAAACAGGCTTTTTTTTTTTTGTCTTAATGAATGCAACAGCAACTGTCTCAACATGACATTTTGACAGCCAACAATGATTCCCAAATAGGTGAGTTGGATTGACTACAACATAAACAAAGACAATGCATGTGGAATACCTATGTGAATTAGGGGTTTTCAAATGACTACTTTACTCTCCAGTCTTAGCACAGGTTTCCCTGGTCACTCCCTCCCATTCTAATGGGAGGATTATGGGGCTACTATGAATATTATACAAAGAGATATTAGCAGTCTGGCAGCATAACTTATAAGATTTTATTTTATGCAAACACCAAGAACTTGCTTCTCACACCATCAGGCCTTTCTTCGAAATGCTTTGAAATATTCCTCCCTTGGAATTCCTGATACTCCTCTATACCATTTATGAAGCCAGATGTGTTCTATCCTCATCTTCATAAAGAATCATTCATACTGGTGAGGCTACTTCCTCATAACCAGTTGTCTGTGAAAATAAGTAGAGGGTGTGATGAAGCTGTTTTTACCAGAGACTGCAACCCTCAGAGAGCACAGGTCGATACTCTGGTGTCCTTGGCTAGATTACACAGGCCTACAGACTTTGGACCTCATTGGGCTGAGACCTGCTCAAAATAGCCAAGGGCAGAAGCCAGGAGGTCAGAGATGAGGCCTGGGGCAGCCTCAGGAAGGCAGGAAACATTCCATGGGGTGGCAAACAGCTTGACTCTGGAGCCAGACTCCTTGGTTTGAATCCCAGTTTGACTGGTGAGGAGCTGTGAGGCCTTGTGGTCAGTTTGCCCTCTCAAGTCCAGGTCTCCTCACCTGTCATGTGGGGTGACAGAGATGGTGTTGAAACCACAAGGCTCCATGGGGAGCAAACAGCTAGGCACACATAAGGCCCCTGAATAAAGGAAGTGGTCAGTTACTGTGTCAGGTGGCAGAAAGAAAGGCTTTATGCATCTTTGTATGAAATATTGAAAGAAATAGGAGGCCATGAAATAAATCTGATTGGTTGGCTTCATTGTTTAGTTGTAATTTTTTCTGGAGCTTTGATCTGTTTTTTTATTTGGGCCATATTTTTTTTTGTCTTGAAGTGACTGTTACAGAGCCTTAGGTATTTTCCAGGCCTGGGCAATCCACGCTGTGCTTTGGCACCTATGTGGGGGAGGGGTTGGAGAGGGGACAGTGCTGCCTGTTCAGATTTCAGAGGGTTTCAGTCACTTCCTCCACTACCCACAAGCAAATTGTCCTCTTCTGGTGCTGACTCCCAGGTGGATGGGCTTGTGTATGGTTTAGGACCATGAGGATCTCTCCAATGAACTCTCTTGTGAGGCTGGGAGTTTCTCCCACTGCCACAACCTCCACAGGTTTTTTCACTCAGAAGTTTTGAGACTTTATTTCCCCATGCTGGAACCCTCAGTTGCATGGTCTGTCTCACTCCCCAGTTGTTCCTCCTCATTTATCCACATACAAATGTGGGAACACTGGCTCTGCCAGCTGCTGCCTTGCCATGAGTAGTCTCTGCCTGGATTCCTATCTCCACTCACTCTACCAGTCTGGGTGAATGTTTTTTCTTTCACTCCGTGGTTGTCAGACTTCCATACATTTCCATTTTCTGTCAGTTCTGGTTGTTTTTTGTTTTTAAATTTGTTGTCCTTCTTTTGTTGTGTGAGGAAGCACAGTGTATCTATTAACCTACACTTTCATCTTGGCCAGAAGTCCTGGAGGTTTTAATAGCAATCACAAACTATCCTTAGTACAGCTAGTGAAGTCACGATGGGACACTGTAAATCAAGGACACAGTTCCCATATGCATAGGTTTAGTGCACTATCACACAAAGCAAAAGCAACCTATATTTTAAAAATATTCACACATTTATACCTTTCCTTGAGATAAGACTGCACTATCTATTGAGAGCAGTTCTTCATGGGTCTCTCATGTTTCTGAACATCTTATAACTAGGTACATTTGTTCTGGACCATCTTTTCACAAAGATATTTATAGAGCAAACCGCCTTGGAAGATAAAGTGTCCCCTGTGGAGCAGAGAGCAGGCTTGTACACTGTCCAGTTGGCTGAAGATTCCGTCTAGGGTAAAGGGAAGGCAAACTTGCTTTCCATTATACAAGCTTTTGGTTCTGTAGTCTCAGGACTCCTCTCCTGTAATGCAGCTCACTATGTGTACAGATGTCACTTGGCTCTCTTTGAATAAACCTATGGGAATTGTTACTTGGGGGACCTCCCTGCCATCAAATGCTGGTTGCTCTGGCTACTGCTATTGCAGTGAATAGTAAAATCCTTTGTCTTTGACCCAGGAGTCTTGTGTCTTCTGCTAGCATCCAAGGAGCGTGACAGGCTAACTTGTTGGTTAAGACTAACAAGACTAATTTTTTCGCAAATAGGATAAAACCTTAGATCCTTTACAGTTCTTGTTACCATATAAAAACATTACGTTTCTTTGCTTTTGGTTGGAACTGAATTATTTTGGAATTAGTGAGGTAAGCATTATTATATCATGCTATTGTGCTGATCAGAAGCTCTGATTTGTATATATCTATCATCTATCTATCATCTATCTATCTATCTATCATCATCTTTCTATCATCACCTATTTATTTGAAGTAATAAAATGGGGAGAATAAATTATTTAAAAATGTTATCTGTTCTTTAGATAAAAATGTTTCATATTACATGGATTATAGAGCAATTTAATGAAAAAGAATTTACTGGTGCAAAGTTTGAAATTCATTGGTGGCCTTGCTCTTTCTGGATTAGTCCCAGGCTGGGGATTTGAACAGCACTGTCACAAAGGTGACTCCTTCTCCATCTACCTGAACCTTCCCCATGTCTTTCTGTATCCTTTTTGACCAGCATTTTGCACACACCTCCCAGTCTGAAACACCATCTGCCATTCCCTGACCTCTGACTCTAGCTCAATGACGTAACTTGACTCCTGATGAAGCAAGAGAAACATCACTATGAAAGAAACAATAGGCAACTGGGTTCGAGTTTGAGCACCGGGGTGTCATTGGGGTCAAGGGGTGGTGATGGTAGTGGAGGATAGCAAATTCATCTCAGGAAGAGCTTCTCTTTTGTTTAGGAAAGTACTTTAATGAGCCTGATTATCAAGGCAAGGCCAAGTCCTCCTCCCCAGCGCCAAGGCTCTTCTCAACTGGGAGAGACTTCTTGCCTTTAAAAGGCAACTGGAAATCTGTGGAGTATTTTTAGTGTCACAGCAACTGGGTTGGGGCTCAATTTGAATTTAGTGGGCACAAGCCAAGAATTCTAAATGTCCTGTAATTCGTGGGACTATCTTGCACAATGAACTACCCATACCCCCACCTACATGTCCACCAAATGTAATAGAACCTCCTGAAACATGCTGCTGATCTTTGTCAATCTCTTAGATATATCCAGGAAGGTAGAAAATTAAGGATAATCTGTGCATATCAGTGTTTCCTACCTAACCTTGGCACTATAGAAACCTATGGCTGGATAACTATGGTAGGGGCTTGCTCTGTACATTGTGGAATATTTAGCAACTTTCCTAGGCTTTACCCCTGAGCTTGCAATAGTATGACCTGCCCTCAAATTTTAAGAACCAAAAGTGCCTCCAGACATTGTATAATATCCCCAGAGGGAGGGGTCCCAGATCCCACCCATTTGAAACCCACTGGTGCAGATATGGGTACATTTACAGATATAGTGGAAGGAGAGGAGAAAGTTCCCTCCATATAGTTTCACACTTTGTTGAAAAAAATGTGGATATCATATGCAATTGAGAGAATGGAAGGAGATGAATAAGTCTGGTGTGAAATAAGAGGGAGAAAGCATGAAACTGAGGCCCAGAAAGAGATCTTACTGGAAAAATAATGGACTTTATAGCAGTGTTGACAATGCATGGAAGGATTTTGTCATGAATTTCAAGTAGAAGTGTCAGCCCGGCCACATGGGTTGTCATTACAATGCTGAGCCTTCTGTGTGCAAGAACAGGAAGGGAGGAAACAGGGTTTAGTGGGATAGATGAAGTTAGGCAGGAGCTCCAGAGGGAGAGGGGCAGAAGAAGTGCAGATGGTCTTGGAATTGATTATAAAGATAGACCCTGGAGTTTAACCTGGGAAAAAAGAAAGGGGAACCAGGAGACACTGATGGGTGAGATGGTGATGGGGACAAAGGATTGGCTGCTTCGTGTGGTCCAAGCATGTTGCAGAATGGCTACTCAGGCAAGAGACTGTAGTGTAGGATGCTCAGAATGGAGATTTAGATGTGGTGCATTTGCCACTGAATCTGGGGTGTGGTCATGGGAGTGGGTGGTGAACACTTGGCTGGAGAAGCTAGGTTGTAGGATAGACCATCCACATGTTGCCAAAGGTGAGAAAAAGAGGGCAGCAGCAGAGAGGAAAATGTGAGACCTCTGTAGCTCCCACCCACCAGTTTTACTTCTGGTCTCCAGGATAACCCAAAACAAATAGTTTTCCTTCTTTGGGTTAGCATTTCAGGTATCTGCAAAAAAGCATTCATGTTCTCAAGTCTTCTTTCCTGCCCCATCCCCTGCAGTCTGGCTGCCTTTAGACTTCCTAGTTTGTCAATATCCATGTTAAACTGTGGTATACAGAATTGATCTTGATACTCTATTACAAAGTATACAGAATGGAGTACTGTCATGTCCACCATCCTCTACTCCATCCTTATAAATATATTTCAAAAGTGTCTATGTTTGAAATCAATACAATCATGACTATCTCAAAATGCCAAAGAGAGCCTCAGAATATTTTAGAATAAATTACCCAGTTTCTTTCTATACTTACGAATGCATTTAAACTGGTACATGTATCTGTGGTTGGTTGAATACTGCCCCCCTCCCTGCAAAGATGAGCATACCCTAATCCCCAGAATTAGGACATGTATAGAGTGTGTGACATTACCTTATGTTGCAAAAGGAACTTAAAAGATGTGATTAAATTAAAGATTTTGAGATGGGAAGATTATTGTAGATTATCCAGTGGGCCCAATGTAATTACAAGGGTCCTTATAGAGGGAGACCCAGAAGACGAGAGTAGTAGAGTAAAGGACAATGGAAAAAACAGGTTAGAATGATGCAAGGAAGAAGTCATGTATAAAGGAATACAAAAATCCAAGTGGCCTCAAGAAGCTGAAAAAAGCAAGAAAATGGATGTTCCTCTCAGAATCTCCAGAAGGAATCAGCCCTGCCAACATCTTGAATGTAGTCTTATAAGACTCATTTCAGACTTCTGACTTCCATAACTATATGAGAATAAATCTGTGCTGTTCTGAGCCACAAAGGCTGTGGCAATTTGTCACAGCAGCAACGGGAAACTAATATACCATCTCTCAAGGTCCAACTCAAATATCCCATATATTCAACCAATAAATATTTAGCCTCATTATGTTCAAGGCTCTGTGCTAATTACTGGGGCTGGGAGATAGCAATGAGGACATGGTCCTGATACTCATAAGGCTTATTGGTGGGCTTAGGATTCAAATCCTACACACTCATTAGAACTCTTTCCTCTTAAGTTCCCACACTTAGGTATGCTTTAAGAATTCCTGGGTTGTTCCTTGAAATGGCAGATTCCAAGTGCCCCACTTTCAGAGACTGCTGGATCCCAGGAATCTGCATTTTACAAACAATCCTGGTAGCCCTCCTGGTCTTAGGCTGCTCCCTGAGCATGGCTTAGTTACATTGTGGCCCACAAGAGGGTTCCAGAACCAAACTTCAGTCATGTGCCCAGGTCCAGAGCTAGCAGCCAAGTTGGAGTTGTGGGGACACATGGTCACTCTGGGGGCCCTTTTGTCTCATCCCCATTTTCTTGTGATCTTCTGGGATGAGGAAAGGGTGCCCTGGCAGCTCGTCACCTGTCCCAGGCTCTCACTGAAGCACTAGCCTCTGAGTAGGTGCTATCCTGAAGCCACTTCCAAGTTCCATTCAGGCTCCCTCTTCCCACCGACATGGCTGAGAGCCAGTGCTGGGACTGTGCTGCTCAGCTCTGGCTTCCCCTGTCTCAGTCTGATGGCATATGTCACAAATAGGACACAGATCCCTGTATATGCATGCGTAGGCCAAAGGAACCCTCAGATGTGCTCTGCTTTCTTCCTTATCCTCCACTATATGAATCCAGGAGCCATCTCTCTAGTGTAAAGTGCGACATATACATTATCTAATGACATCTTGCATGGCATATTCAGTTGTCCTTTCCAAAATCCTACTGTTTTATTATTTAAAGATGTACCACAAACCATGTACTAAAAAAGGAAATCTGCCTGGGACACAAATGCTTCATTCATTTGAGAGGTAAGGAGAGTTGTAGATAGAGGGAGTCGGGGCTGAGTCAGGGTTAGAGCTGTCTGCAGAGACCATGCACTGGACAGAGTGGATGGTTATAGAAACTAAACACTGGACAACTAAATAAATGGACTATGCATTTTTTTTGTCTTCCAGTTCTCAGCTCCTCTGTTTCCTACCCTGTAAAATGGAAGATGGGAGTGGGTGCCAGGGCTCTTCCAGGCTGTAAATACATACTGCCAAATACAGAGTCTCATTTTATTTCACAGGGAAAGCTTTGTTGCTTTGTGAATCAAATTGCCTGCAGCCTGGTTAGCCTCACCTGTGCCTGATCTGTGGAGAGCTCAGAAGAAAACGGCAGAAAGGAAGTGGTGAGAGTACCAGGATGAGCAAGGGGAAAGTATGCAAACACCCCTGTCTTGCCACCTATCAAGGTCAGACAGGTTCACTTGAGATTTGAGCAGACAGAAGAAAATTCATGGAGCTACTGGGATGTCTGACATGGCTTTATTCAAAGGTGGGGAGAGCCACACACACTGTAACCATGTGTTGCACTGTGTGTCGTGCTGGCAGGGAGTCCCAAATGCCACATACTAAATGCCACAAAGCCAGCAGGGTGCGAAGATATTGTATAACAAAGAGTGTTTCTGCACATGCAGGCCCACTCAAGGTTGTGGGAATACTGCTTCTCTTAGTTGCTGAGATATCCAGGTGAGGGAGACTGACTAACTTCATTTAATTGACAACACTCCTGTCCTGGCAGACCAGGGGGATCACATGGACTCCTAAGAGGAAGGGGCCTAGGATGCAGAGGTCTCAGGGGCTGAGTCCATGGCACTCCTCATGAGTGAGAAGAAAGTCAAACAGAAAAGGAAATGCACCCTGGGGGACAAATTGGTAATTACTAGGACTAGAAAATTGAACACAGCCTTAAAATCAGAAGAGAGAGGTAAAAAAAAAAAGGAACTTTTAGGAGGTTAGTGCCTTCATTTTGAAGGACAGGTCAGGTTGAGTGGGACAACGTGGAAATGATGGACAGGTGGATGGGCAGACAGGTGGGAAGTGAAGATGCTAAGGTGGTGGTCTTCACAGCTGCAGTGTGGAATTCTACTCATTTCTCTCTTATGGAGATGTGTCATCTTTAACAATTAGGGACCCTTAGCATACATGATAATGTTTTAGATCTTGCTGTTTCACTTCAAATTACTGGTAATGAATAAGCAGGGGGGAGTCTTTAAGTCTTTTTTATTGTTGTTCAACTACAGTTGTCCCCATTTTCTCCCCACCACTCTCCCCAGCCCCAGGCCCTCCCCAAATCCCATTCAATCCTATCCACCCCAGTCGTCTTTGTCCATGGATCTTTTATACATACTCCTTGAGAACCCTTCCTTTTCTTTCCCCCATTATCTCCCACACCACCCCTCTTGTTACTGTCAGTTTGTTATCTACTTAAATGTCTGGTTATATTTTGCTTGCTTGTTTATTTTGTTAATTAGGTTCCACTTATAAGTGAGATCATATGGTATTTTTCTTTCACTGCCTGACTTACTTCACTTAGCATAATGCTGTCAAGATCCACCCATGCTGTCAAGAAGGGTAGGAGCTCCTTCTTTCTTTGTACTGCATAATATTCCACTGTATAATTGTAT